AATGCTATGCTAACACTGAAATACTCCCCAGTGAAACAATAAACAATCTCTGAATGTGCCCTAAGAAACTCAAGTTTTAATGTCTACAGAAAGGCAGATGGTTTGGTGTCTGCATTTTCTTAAATGTGCAGTCTCCACAGGGAACACTTACAATAGCATCTTTGCTCTTTTTATAAAAGAGATCCACTTCAACAGCAGCCCCAGGGATAAAACTATCCATCCACTTTCCAAACTCACCCTTATCTTTAGTTAATATCTTATTAATATTAATAACTTAATATCTTACATGTGGGAGACAAAGGGACATGGCCAACCTCTTTTCAGTGGTCTGTGGGGATAGGACAAGGGGAAATGGCCATAAACTGGAGCACAGGAAGTTCCACACCAATGTGCAAAGGAACTTCTTCACAGTGGGGGTGATGGAGCACTGGAACGGGCTGCCTAGAGAAGTTGTGAGTCTCCTTAGATATATCCTAGAGATATTCAAGACCCACCTGGATGCCTACCTGTGCAGCCTGCTGTAGGGAGCCTGCTTTGGCAGGGGGTTGGACTAGATGATCTCTAGAGGTCCGTCCCAACCCCTACAATCCTGTGATCTTTCCTTCAAGGGCACAGATGATCTCAACCATCCCTGTGACCTAGTCTTCATATTTGTACATGTTGTCTGTTAGCCATACAGCCTCCTGTATTATCAAGATCTCTTTGCTGATAAAACTGCAATATCAAATGTTATTAACAGACAGCCCCAGCAGAAAGTGAATTCATCTGTGGGGACATAAGATCCTAAGCCTGGGAGAAATATTTTACAAATTTAATTTTACAAATACCAGTGCTCAAAGCAGTGTCAATTTGCTAACTCCTGGCACTGCACAAAGTGGAAGGCAAGCCACCTTCAGCAAGGAGGCTCCTCCTGTCAACTATCGGTCCCTTCTGATTCATCCAGCACACCAGGGACGTAGCAGAGTTCAATTGGAAATTTACAAAAGATTAATTCTCACTGCAAATTCAAAAGCTATGCATGGGCACACCTGGGAGTTCTAGAAGCCCTGTGTGCCATGCTATCACTGAACCCAGCTATCTGCTGCCCAGTTCTTAAGTTACACTGAAACATAAGGCTGAAAAGGCATGACAGCAAATGAAACCTAACCATACACTTAGGAGAGCAGACTACTTCTGCACATCACTGCTCTAGAATCTGAGCACAAAACCATCAGTATTCTAAAGAAATAGCTTTGTAGGTAACCAGTAAAAACTGAGACAATTAGTCTGATCTGTATCTGCAATTAAGCCATCAACTCATCTATGTATCTTTCAACTGTGCCATTTTCCTCAAGGACCCAAGTAAAGCTTGCACACTTACAGCCTTCATTGTACAGGTACGCTATCAGCTTCACAGCAGCTTCAAAGTTGCCTCTTTCAGCAGCCTTGAATGGGAACAGAGAAGATACTTCAGGTTGAAATCAATAGGTGCTTCCACATCAGACAAGTTACTGCAGTGAAGGCCTGGCTCTGAATTTGTTGTTCGCTGATCACAAGCACACCTGATTTCACTACAGAAGTTACAAGTGAGTTATGATGTGGCT